AGTGAAACGTGGGCATTTGCAAGAAGGGTAGGGAGGGCAGTTCTGATAGTTCCACCCAGCTGGTGAGAAGATTTACTCCTCCCCTTGAAAGCTGTGATGGTCTGGATGAAGAAAGTGGGATCACTGGCTTATACCTGCGTGGGTGTGTAGCAATAAATATATGTGATGACTTCTATAAGGCATTTTTTTGAGGTGAGCTATAGAAGGCTGTTGCAAAATTCAGCAAATCATAAATAAAAATGTGTAGTGGGTAGAAAACGAATTTTGTCATTGTGCCTCCTGGGCAGGTTCAGTGGTGAGCACATCCCGTGCAGTTGCTTATAAATGTGTGGGAAGTTACCATTGCCAAAATTAACAACACCAAAAGGCAGCTCAGGAGCTGTTTCTAGTTCTGCCGAGGTGCGATGAGGCACGGCCGCCTCAAAGCCAGGAGCAACGGGGACCCCAGAATTCAGTACTTTTGCATAAATTTCTGTAGCACCATGTACTTCTTTTACCACGAGCACCTCACCTCCAGCTGGAGTGCGCTGAAGTTGGCACAGGCTCTGGACACACTCTGCAAAAATGCAGCGTGTGGATTGTGCTGTAAGTATTTAAGAGTGGAAGAAGGGTGTATGCAGCTTATAAGCTCATGTCTCAGACTGTGGAGTAATTCTAATGTGGTGGAGCTTATTATCTCTTCAGTAAATGTATAGTGGCTTTAGTAATGGTGTCTTTTTAATTAAAAACTTCTAAGAAGCTCTTGGATCTGAAGTTTGGTGAATTCCATTCAGTTCAGTGGAATTGTGCCAAATGAACGTCAGTGAGAAGGAATGTGTTTTATCGAGGAGGTTATTGCCTGTAATGATCCTTGACCAAACACCCACACAAACCCCTATTTCTTCCCTAGATAAAAGATCGTAGGAGCCGTTTCTCCAGGAATATGTTTCAAGCAAATAAAGTTTCTAGACTGAGAAAATAAATTAAACGATATGGTCAGTTTGATCCCTCACCTCTTAATGAAATGCCAGGTTTGAGAGTTTTAATTGCACATTGTTCTGTAAGGAAACAGCCCGAGGGAAATGGGTCACTGCATAAAAGCCAGTGCCGAGGAATGTCTGGTGCTGCTGCCAGCCAGGTCCCAGCTCCCTCAGGAACAGGCACATTTTAGGTGTTACCTCATCTTTCAAGGAAAATTGGCTACTGATGGCTGTCTGCTTTTTATTATATGGGCCACTGCATTTTATTACCACCTCAGAAAGAAAGATCAAGGGACCTTTTAGATTCTTTCTAGGAAGAAAAATAGGAAACTGCTGGAAACTCTTTTTTTGCCGCTGGTTAAATATAGCTTGTAAAAGAATCATCCCATTTTTCCCATCTGTGGCACAAGTCACTTGGTTAATGAATGTTTGTTTTCAATTGGATGAACTGGTTTAAGTCAAACTTTGATGAATGCTGGCACAAACCAAATTATTAACTAGAAAACTACAGTAAAACATTATTATTATGTTGTAAATTGAAAAGAAGGATGCCTGATGCCAGAAAAGAATTCACCGTACACGAACAGAGCAGTTTGTTACTGTTCTGCTGTGGCAGACTTCCCCTTTATGCCTTGTGCAAATACATCATCCAAAAGCAAAACTGTAAATCTATATAGTCATAAATAAACTTACAATAACAAAACAGCAAGTTACTATTCAAAATATAAATGAAATGAAATGTTTTCTTCTAAGTGTCTGTAGTTTGTAACTAACTTTGTACGCCTGATGTAGTCTCTGGATAGAAACTGTTTTCAGCTCTGGGTTGATGAAATGTCCAGGTCAAGACCACCTTCTGTTTGTTTACATCTACAAATGTAGCAATTTATTAAGCAAAATCAGAACTTCCACAACTGCAGTAACAGCAGAATTGAGGGCACTAAGTCCAGCTTGTTTATAAACAATCTTACCTACAACAAAAAGGGCTTGGGTTAACTAAATGGGGAGAAATTACTGGAAATTTTGAAGTTCTGTGTATCTGCTTCTGCAGCCTGAAGTCTTAGAGCAGAGTAACACTGAATCAGCATGAAAAAAAAAGACTCTTGTATTTGGTGTTCAGTAAGAATAACTACTGTCAAACAGTTTTCAAAATACGTATTTTATTTAACTGCTGAGATTCTGTTAACAGACTCTGAACTCACATTCTCCTTCTTAATTTGACAGCAGGACGCGAGTTTAAAACAACAGCTATTTCTACAAGAGGAAGAGATGAAAAATTTGGACTGTTGCATTAATTCACAGTCCTGCATTGAGATTTGAATTAGTACATAAAGGTAAAACGGGCATAGGAATGGTTCTGGTTGGCAGGCACACAGCTAGTGCCCGGGGTTGTGACTAATACTGCTTTCTGTGCAGAACAGAAACAGCCCTGACCCGGTGTCCTCTGCAGCCCCTCAGCAGGGTGGTTGTAAGAGCACTCGAGCTGCAGGAGCCTGTTTCCTCAGCGCAGCGCACGGCAGGCTCAGAGATGGACAGGGTCCAGGGGCTTACCTTCAGCCTCCCCAGCCAGCAAGCTGGTGTAGGTGGATTTGTTGTTAGGGTTTTATCCTGGCTAAAACTGTAGGATATCATGTATTTGAGAATTGACTTCTTAAGGGAAGGTCGGGCCCTGCAGGAGGAGGGAGGTCCCCGAGGCTGGGGAATGGCTGTTTGTGCCCAGGCTGGGAAGCCTGGCAGAGCTGGCACCAGCACGGGCAGGGCTCCCGCTGTCAGCGCAGGAGGGGGATTGCTTGTCCCACAGACAGGTCTCCAGGGACAGACCCTCCTGGCACCTGGGCCCTGCAGGGCTGCCTTCTGGGCAGGGAAGGCACGGCCGGGCTTGTGAGCTCCTGCGATGCTGCCTCAGAGCAGCAAAACCTTTGGAGCTGGTGATTGTCTGCCCCACATGCTGGCCAGGAACTTGAGCTTTAGCAGCGATTGTGCACGTTCCTGCATAAACTTCTAGTGTCTTTCTGCAAGAATTTAATGAGTTACTCCTTTAGTTACCTGAGTTAATTGTGTTTGTTGATGCTTTTCAGCTTTCAAAAGAAAAAAAAAAAAACAACAACCTATATTCATGTTAATGCCTTGCTGTTGCTATTTGGGCAGTCCTTAGGCATGTGTTTGTGCATGCAAGGGTTTAATTAAAACCTTAATAACTAAATAATCTCCACACAGTCTAGGTCTCTATAATATAGCACTACAGGGACATTTCTTGAGTTCCTCAATTGCATGCCACATTACTATTAACTATTTTTTATATTGGATAATAACACTGTGGCTTTGCTGGCGAGGTGTGTATAGATGAGGAGGCAGCCTGAGCAGCCAGCCCAAGAGCCGTGGTTACTCGGGACCCGTTGGAGGTGTTTCCTTTGATCACACCACGGCTGAGACAGACTCACATCGCCCAGAGACCAAGACTAAAGTATCCGCATTAGGGTGCCTGAAGTGAGTTTCCTAAAGAGAAGTGGCCTCATTCCCTTTCCAGAGATACTGAACATGAGAAAGTGGGGGTTTTTTTTAAAGCTTTCACGCTTTGCAAAGTGGCTCTGACAGTCACTGACAGTCACTTTTCTGGGTGGCTGTCAGTATTTTGGGCACTGGCTGCTACTGTATGTAGGGTGTTCAGGGCTGCTGCAGCCTCTCCCCAGTGCCTCTGTGCACTCTGGCTGCAGGGCAAAGCTCCAGCTGGGCTCCTGCTTTTACCTCCACCCCTCTGGAAATGTCCCACAGCCACGTGAGACATTGCTCACGGGATGCACCCCTGTATCGTCACGTTACTGTGTTGTGACAACTGCACGTGCTAGTCCATGTCATGGCTTTGGAAAAGTGTAACCCATTGGCACTGGGGACCCAGACAGCTGGTGCCGTGGACCAGTCCTTTTGGGCTGGGCTCAGGAGGGGTTTGGGGAGTGAAAGGCAGTCAGCTCTTGTCCCACAGCGATGCCATAGGCTGCACCAGGACTTCTCCATAGGAAGGGGCTTCTCCCACCCTTGCTCGGCAGCAGAGCGGTGACTGGTTTCAGAGATGGAGCAGTCCCAGTGCCCCACACCATACCTGTGTGTCCTGCTGGTTTCAGAGATGGAGCAGTCCCAGTGCCCCACACCATACCTGCTACCTGCGTGTCCTCTTCCTTGGCAGAGCATGGCCAGTGGACCTCGGCCCCACAGTTCAGCCCTTCCATCCAAGGGAGAGGGGCCAGACCACGGTGGCAGGCAGAAGTGTCATCTCTTTTGGGGAAGATAACTAGAAAATAAAAAACTGAAAAAGTATCTTAGCATACATGGATAGGAGGCAGGGACAGGCCTGTTTGCTGCAGTGTGGACACGGGTGCCACTTCTCGCTGTGAGCCCCTGCTCTCCTGTGATGGCCCGTACACACCACCCCTGCAGCCTGCAGCAGGCATCTCCTCACCTCACAGACACGGGTGCCGTCTTACCATCCCTGGGTTTGGACGAAATGACTGTAACAGATGTGTTCCACATCTGACCTCTGTTTTTCTGTAGCTCCTGTGCACATTTTTAATTTAAAATTCTGCTCTTTCCTATAAAAGGTAAAGAAGATGTCAAGGTCTTGCTGTTCCCATTCCAAATGAAATGGGTTCATGTCCTGTTAATCAAGGAGTACAGCCGCAGCATTTGTCATTTCCCTTTAAAGTAATGGGTGGTTGATACCTGTCATTTCTCAAGAAACTATAAACCAGATTAAGGTGTATTTATAGAAATCTCAATTGCTGGTGACTTGGCTGAAGCCGAGTTTAGGCATACCATTAGTAATGCATAATGAAATGACCTAAGTGGAGTTAGATTTGGGAGGGGGAAGAGAAAGCTATTTGAGTTGGACAGCTTGAGGATGCTGTTTTACTATTAAAATTAAGCTTCTGACCCCTGGCTCTGAAGTGATAAAAATAAATCTTCCTATATTTCTCTTCTGCATTTAATCTTCTATATTGGAAATGATAAAGAATAAAATCTCCTTCTCTCCCTTGTCTCTTTCTTTTCTAGGTACAGGACCTATTTATGCTACAGACCCGCTCCTATATATGTTCCTGTTAATACTGCATAAGCTTGTACATTTATTAGTAAACCACTGACGGACTACTTCCTCCACTCCTCCTCAGCCAAACAAAAAGGAACCTATTTAAAACCAGAACAAATCCCTGACAAAAAAAAAAAAAAATACCTGCAGTTTTAAAGATGGACAGAAAGAGACTGAAAGAAGCATGATAAAATTCTACATGAGGGGAAAAACATATTTTTGGGGATGCCACTGAAAGTAAACCACATAGAATAATGCATCTAGTTTCCAGACTCTACGGTGTAAAGCCCTGCTCAGTGCATGGCAACTATGATTTCTCTATTTTAATGTAATATTTTTTCTTTTCTAAACCTTTCCTCTGACTCTTCATTTTGCACGAACTGTTGAGCAGTTATCTTTATGACAATATGTAAAGATGTTGGGTCAAAGCCCTTCCTAAGAAAGGAAATATTTTTAGTAGATTATTGTGTTTAGGTTTTTTTGGATTTCCTTTTTCTTTTTTAATTAAATTATTTCTTTTGGAGACATTTTAATTAAAAAGGTACATCTTACCATAATTAATATTCACTGTCAATAATATTTATTTTTAAATGAAGATTGGAAACAAGGTAAGACATTTGTTTATAAACTGTATTGTATATTGCTGAATAACAGTTGAATAAAAAGATTTTGAAATAAAGTTTTTACAGATGTGTGTGCCTTTCCCTGTGTCCTGAAGCTCCTGAGAAGGCTTCGTGGCTGTGGCTGTTCCCTGCCTTGTCACAGCACAGAGAATTGAGGGGCTGTTCCCTGCCTTGTCACAGCACAGAGAGTTGAGGAAAGGTGCATCCCAAACCAAATAAAATTGAAATTGGTTATTTATTACACACCCCAATGTATTTGCAAACCCCAGAGCGGAATGTGCTGACAGTGAGTCAGGAGCTGTAACTGCCTTCTCCTGAGGTGACACCAGCTGCCTCTGGGCAGTCAATGCCCCGTCAGATGGACAATGGGACAGTGTGGACCATTCAAGGTAAGTTGCTTTGGTTTTCTCCAAGCCTCCTCGAAAAAAGATTAATCAACCAGTGGAAAGTAAAAATGACTATACCTGGAATGTTGTATTCCCTAGACCTGGTTCCAGTGTATGTTTACTATATATTTAGATTTCTTAAAATTATGTAATTGTGTCACTTGTCTTACCAAGTGAACTTTAATGGAGCAAAAGGCTTTTGTACAGTAAATACAGCAGTTATTTTTCTGTTCCGGAATTCTTGGGTTTTAAGTGAGGTAATAGGTAAAGGAACTCAACGTTCTTTAGCTGAATTTAGTAAAGTACTTTGAAATTTCCTATGTCTGACTGTGACTCTCATCCTTTCATTTGCGTAGCATTTCTAAAGCACCTTAATTGTGGAAATGGTAAAGTGCCAGCTACAGCACCAGCAGGACTCTGTGGGCAGAAGCTGTTGGAGCAAAAGCAGGACGTGCCGTTGCCTCACCTTGAACCCGAGTCCTCTTCTAAAAGGAGGGTAGGAAGGGGGTTTTCAGTTTCTCCAATGGTCAGAATTTGCTTTTTTTAAGGCTGCCAGTAATAGTGAGGGATTTGTGCCACTCGTGTGTCACTAGGTGTGAGACCAAAACACATCTCTGTTTCATATACACTACTACATCGTGGTAATAAAAGCTCTCTTGTGTGGGGCAAACTCACCGTGGGGACCCAGAGGCAATAAAATCTTTGTGAGAATGTTCATCCCCTCAGTGCCAGCTGCAGTGTCCTGTGGATCGCGGAATAATCCATAACCAGTGCACAAAAAGCAGAACTGCTCTTCTGAAGGACTTGGGGGAGGTGGTTGTTGGGCCTGGAAGTGCATCAGCGTGAGACACTGAAGAGCAGGGTCTTTGGCTTCCATACGTGCATGGGAGGGCAAATCTTTTATAACCTGAAAGGGAAAGACAGGTGGAAAAAAATACGTGAATGTCAGACCATGCCTAAATGAGCAGTGTTCCTGCCTGGGAACTTGTTCTCAGCGTGAGACACTGAAGAGCAGGGTCTTTGGCTTCCATACGTGCATGGGAGGGCAAATCTTTTATAACCTGAAAGGGAAAGACAGGTGGAAAAAAATACGTGAATGTCAGACCATGTGCCACTTAGCAGTGTTCCTGCCTGGGAACTTGTTCAAGGGCAGTTGCTCAGTGCAGAGGTGTGTGCAGAGGCTGTACCGTCACAGCAGCGCTGATCCAAATGGCTGGGCACGGCAGTGGAACCTGCCTGGCTCTGCAGGAGCGCTCAGCATCGCTGCTGCTTGTTGTCAAGGGCCGTGGGTATTTCCCAGTCACTCGTCTTCCTTCTAAGGGAGAGAACCAAAACAAATTTTTCCACAAGAGGAAGAAGAAAATCTGCTAAATTTATCTAAATAAATAGCTGGTGCTTGAAGCAGTGGATCATGTCTCTCTAGGAGTAGTTATGCTTCTAGTTCTACGTCAGCCATACCTCAATATGGTCTCTTAGTAAATGGATCATCTACTTTGCTCTGATGCTTTTGTGTCATCGCTTGCAGAGTACATTATGTCTAGAATTGCATACTGTGTGCTTTGCAGGAAACACAGAAGGAAATACATCACCTTCCATCTGTCCTCCCCTTCGTGTTGTAGCCTCTTACCTCAACAGCAACTGGAAGTTCTGTGTGCAGCAGCAGGCATAGAGTTATCAAGGTCTTTTAGACTTTAATCACATTAAAGGTGAAAAAATATTAAATCTGCAACTAAAAATAACTTTTTTTTTATCCTTTCTGAGATCAGAATTAAGTGTGCCACAGTAGGAATAACAATTCTTATATTCCAATTCACTATAAAACCTCAGAACTACTAAACAATAACCTGAGGATTTGATGAAAAATCTCTCCTAACAAGAGCAATAGGCATCTTTTCTTCCCATGATGACCTGCACACGTGCAGAGATAACTCATTCCCAGCACACAGGATAACTTCCACAAGGGAGCAGATTGCCCAGATAACCTGGCTTTACCTTCACCTTTGCTCTATTTCTGTCTTCAAAGATGTGCAGAATGTGCCCTCCAGGTTTTGGGGTCTTGCTTTCCACATTGGGGCCAGCTTTTCTGCAAAGTACACAGCCTATGTTTGCCCTGCACTTGTGTACTGCAGGGGAAGTAACTGGCTAAAGAGGAGGCTGCAGCTTCCAGTACAGTATTTAGTCTTTAAAAAGCACTTAGAGGACTGAGAAACATTTTGATGGAAAAACGTAAAGAATTTGGAGCCTTATTGCTTGTGAGTGTGTTAAGGACTTCTGCTAAAACATCTGTCCTTTGAGAGCGCTCACTCTTCTGAAAAGGGCAACCGCCTCACTTGTGCTGATTGTATTTACAAAGGGCAAAGTGAGGTTTTGCTGTACCCTTAATGGACAGAGGCTGGTGGCAAATCTTGCTCTTTCATAAATCTCAGCGTTGCTGGTGGTGTCTGCTGTCAGGATTGATCAGGAGTCAGTGCCTGGGCTGCGGAGCCGGGGGAAGGCAGTGGGTGGGTACCTGGGGAGCCAGCCCCTGGTCCCTGCGCTGGGGGACACCGCAGCCAGCGGCTCCTCTGCGCCAAGGCAGCCAGCAGGGAGCTGGGCAGCGTGAGTGATGGCTGTTAGGGGCCAGAGCTGAGTCATCTATAATATAATCATAAGGAAACACACATTTTTCCTGAGAGAAAATCAATAGAACTTTGCACTTTTCCTTGTAATATTTCCAGTCTGCGCCATCAGCCGTAGTTTGCTCACAGTTATACTGCTATAAATTCACTGCGAGTTAATGGATTTCTACAAAAATGAATGGATTTACAACAGTGTAGCAGAGCTGATGCTAGAGCCATGAACATGTAAAAACACATGGAACAGAAGTAGTTTTATAGCACACAGGTGACCTTCAAAGTGCCAAGACCTAGCAAGTAAAAAGCAAAATTACCTAGTTCCGGCTCTGCTCCTTTTCTGGCAAAGCTCCCACGGAAAATTAAGTGTGCAGTCCCAAAAACGTTGCTGTGCATGGCCAGAGACCCTCCGCCGGGAAGACGGGCGAGCAGGCAGCTCCACGCCGTGATGGAGAATCCAAAAGACTGTCTGAACATGTCATTTTTCAGTTCCTGCATAAAATATTTTAGAGCCTCATCTCGCTAGAATTAGTAAGTAAGTAAATAATGTGCTCCCAAACTTGTGTGTCAAAACGTGGTTGGTTAATATATGAGCTGCCTCTGTTGCATTTGTTACTACTCAGTAAATTTCATGCTTAGCCAGAGGCTGGCAAAGTTCATTTATTCATTATCCCCCAACTTCGGGCAGTTATTATTCAAACTCCCCTAGTACATCTATTTAATAAGAAAAGAACAGAAAATTGATGGGATCAAAAATGTTAAAGTCTTAATTAATGCTTTTAGCAAAGACTGATTGGAAGGGTTGTTGTTGTTGTGCGAATATTAATTTGTAGGGAGCGAGCGCTGCCGGGTTTTGGTGGGGGCAGGGGGGGGCTCTCCCAGCCCTGCCAAGGGAGCTGCTGGCCCGTGGGGACACCCCCTCTGTCACCCCGGGGGTCTCTGCTGCCAGGGAGGGACCAGCAGAGTGCTATAATACCAACACATGCAAATTATTGCTGATTAATAAAGAATGGTTAGATGGGAAAACATTCGCTTACAGCACAGAAAAGACATGGGATTTTTTTTTTTTTCCCTTCTTCACTGTTTTGGGGGTTCTGTGGTGTTTTTGTGCCCCGTGGGGCAGGTTTGGGGGTTGGTCACACAGGAGCAGTTACACCACAGGAAAATGAACGGCCCTAAACCAAAGGGAAGGAGAGGGAGGCTGGAAGAAACCCAGCAAGGCAGGAGGGCACCAGCAGTTCCTGTGTCACCCCGTCCTGTGGCAGAGCAGCAGCACCACCGTCCCCTGGGCACAGCCACGTGGTTTGACAGGGATAGGGACGAGGAAGGGAGGTGGGGGTTGTTGGTTTTAGACCGTATTTCTAAACCCCAGCAATCTCTGCAGAGCAAAGACGGATATTTATTATAAATGGAGCCAACCGGGGAAAGCGTGTGGTTCAGCTCTGCATCAATGACTATCTGAAATGCAGTCCTGGAGAAGATGGCTGTTTTTAAGGATCTGTGCTAATGTCAATGAATGGATTGAAATCTCCTATTTTTCCTATGAGAACCGCCAGCCTTTTCATAATAACAATTATGGACATTCCAAGCAAATCACAGTTATATTAAGAGTCGAATCAAAGTGCACTGTGCTGCAGAGTGAGTTAATGGCTTTCCCTGTTTGTTGCCTATAGATTTGGTTTCCTGTTATTGTTAAATTTTTTCTTAAATTTCATATGGACAATTACCTGTAGTTTTAATACAAATTAAATGACCAATGACTTGATAACTAACTCAAAAATGCTCACAGTTCAATTGAAGATTATAGTTTTCTAAAGGACATGTTGGGGATTTACTCTGGGGAAGATGGGAAAGGGGGTGTTAAGCTATTTTTTTTTTCCTATTCCATGACCAGATCTGTCAAAAATTTTAATTTATTTCTGTGTTAGTCCCCTTGAAATAGGAAGCAACAGGTAAGACTTTGGGAGGGTTATGCAAGATGAAAAAAGAGATGACCACATAAAATGGGCTCTTATATTTGGATTTTCTTGTCATTTTCCTTGAAAATCTGAAGTCATTGAGTTTTTTAT